CAAAGATCCAAAGTATGAGTCTAGGAAACGTGGAAGTCATCAAAAAGGCAATGAATCGATATCTTAGGCACTAATGAGCTGAAATAGATTGGATTTGGGAATCTTGAGCCAGACAGTCATATGGTCTACTGTCCTAGGAAAGATGAATTGAAGAGGGACAGCAGCCCATTCATTGTCAAAAAGATCATTTTTAAGATCTATGTTAGATTACAATATTGTCAGCGATAAGCATATCCATATAGTTACAAGGAATACAATCATTATTCAAATATACACATCACCCACGAATGCAAAAGATGAAGAAATTGGAAGATTTTTTTTTAACCAATTTCTGTAGTCTGGAATTGATTAAATATGCATTCAAAATGCATAGACAATTATTGGTGATTGAGCACAAAACCTGGAAACCAAGCAGGATCAATAATTGGAAACATGATCTTGGTGATAGAAATAATGACAGATCATAATGCTAGAATTTTGCAAGACAAATTACTTATTCATTAGAAATGCCCTTTAACAAACAGCAGCATAAACTGTTACTTTATACCTAGACCTCACTGTATGGAACTTACAGGAACCAAATAAATTACATTCGTGCAAAGAGACCATGGAGAAGCTCAGTATCATCAATCAGAACAAAGCCAGAGACCAATCATGGACTAGACCAGCACTTGCTCATATGTAAGTTCAAGTTAAAGATGAAGAAAGTTCAAACAAGCCCAAGAGAGTTAAAATATGACCTTGAGTATATCCTGCCCAAATGTAGAGACCATCTCAAATGTAGATTTGGCACATTGCACAATAATGACTGAAGGCCAGAAAAGCTGCGGGATGACATCAACATGAACCAAGCCAAAGGTTGAAAAATAAGAAAAGGAAAAGGTTAGTAGAAGACAGTGAAGAAAGAAAGGACCAAAGTGGATGTCAGGAGAGAATCTGAAACCTGCTGTTGACTATAGAATAGCCAGTGAGAGTGGAGAAATGATGAGATAAAAGAACTGAACGGAAGATTTCGAAAGGCAGCCCAAGAAGACAGAGCGGAGTACAATAATGAAACATGCAAAGACGTGGAGTTAGAAAGTCACAAAGGGCGAACATGTAGGACTTCTGAAGCTGAAAGAGACGAAGGAAAAACTCAAGACTTGAGTTGGACTGTTGAAGGATTCCATGGGCAATATACTGAGCAATGCGGAAGCTTTAAGCCTTAATGATTAGGGGATGCTAGAAGGAATACACTGGGTTACTGTACCAAAAAGAATTGGTTGACATTCAATCATTTCAGGAGGTTGACATTCAGTCATTTCAAGAACTATGGCATTGCAGGAAGAAGTCAAGCAGCACTGAAGGATTTGGAGAAAAAGACGACTCCAGGATTTGATGGAATGTCAATGGAGATGTTTCAATCAACAAATGCTGCAAGGACCCCCTAGTCTATGCCAAGAAATTTGGGATAGAGCTACCTGGCCAATTGACTAGAAGAGATTCATATTTGTGCCCATTCCAGTAATATCACGCACAAGGAAATTTTGACTGAAGATAATTCAAAATTGGTTACAGCAGTACATTGACAGAGATCTACCAGAAATCCAAGCCAGATGCAGAAGAGGATGTGAAATGAGAGATAGCATTGCTGGTGTCAGATGCATTTTGGCAGAAAGCAGAGAATACCAGAAAGGTGTTTTTATTGCAAAGGCATTCAACTGTGTTGATCTTAAGAAACTGTGGAATACATTGTGAAAAACAGATAGTCCAGGACACTTATTTCTGCTCATGCAGAACACAGACCAACAGGCAGTCATTAGAACCGAATGAAGATATTGTATGGTTCAAAGTCGGGAAAGATGTGTGTCAGGGTTGTAGCCTTTCACCATGCTGGTTAAATCTGTAGGCTGAGCAAATAGTTCAAGAAGTTGGACTACAAGAAGAACGTAGCATCCTTAGGGGAAGACTCATCAACAAACTGTGCTATCCAGATGAGACTACTTTGCTGGCCGAAAGCAAGAAATAAAACAATCTCAATGCACTTACTGCTGCAGGGCAAAGACACCCAGAACGGATTCCACTGTAACATAAATAAAACAAACTTCCTCATTCCAGTGCCAGTAAGCAACGTCATGATCAAAGGAGAGAAGACGGAAATGATCGAGGATTTCATTTTACTGAGAATCAGGATCAATGCCCATGGATGCAGCAGTCAAGAAATGTACTACATTGGGAAGATCTGCTGCAAAAGACCCCTACAAGTGTTCAAAAGGAAAGGTATTGTTAGGTAGCTAGAAGCAGAACTAGGGTCTGTCCGTCTATATGCCAAAGCCTCCCTCCCCTACTTACGGGAAGTTGGAAGCTGCTTCAGGCTGGAGGGCATATTTACATTCAAGCTCCCAGCCAGGAAGGTACACCTGGGTGGGACCCCATCCAGGCCAGGTGGGATTAATTTGGCCAATGGGGTTAACCAGTATCATGGACCACACCTTCCAACCAGGGATGCTGGGAGTGGGGGCGGGGGGCACTGAAAAAGCCAGAAGTCTTTCTCTGGAGCTCTCTCCCAGCGGCTGCACAGCCCAGTGTGGCCGGGCCGTGGACTCTGTCTGACTTGTGTCCATTTCCTGTAATGCCTGAAACTGCTTCTAACCTTTATAAAACTCACTTGGATCACAAACCAGGCTTTCTCGCGGGAAGCCAAGGACCGAGGTATTTCTCCCACGAGAGAGAGACCTGGAATCGACGGTGCACCTGGCCTAGGCCATGGTATTTTCTATGGCCTCCTATGCTCATGAAAGCCAGGCAGTCAGTAAGGAAAGTCACAGAGAAATGGATGCCTTTGACTTTGGGTTTTGGTAATGACTATTGAGCCTGCCATGGATTGCCAGAAGAAGCAGCCAATCTCTCTCGGAAGCCGTTCAGCCAGCATATTTCTTAGAAGAGAGAATGACGAGGCTTGTTCTCAGCAGAGATGAGCACCATGCACAATAAAAGAGAAGGCCAGCGAAAAAGAGGAAGACCGTCAACGACATGGATCCACACAGCGGCTGCAAGAGCGGACTCAGATCCGGCAAAGAGTGTGAAGGTTCTGCAGGACCAGACCTTATTTCGTTCCTTTGTACCTAGGGTTGCCATGAACCAGAATGGACTGTTGGGCATGAGGACAACAACAACACAGCAGTAACCCGCAGTAATTTTCTGGGACTCTGTGGGTCCAGTTAATGACATCTTATGTGAAGACAAGACCACAAGCGTCATTGCGGCTCCTTTCAGGCTTTGCTGTGCTTTTCCAATGGAAGTTTTGTCTAATTTATCTAAGCAGAACTGAGTGCACAGCGTCAAACAAGTGTGCTCTGTGCTAGTGTAGGCTTCTCTTGGCAGGATAAGCTCCCCAGCACATCTTCTATACCTCATTGTAACCGGGCTCTTTTTAGAAGCCAACGACCTGCTTTCTCCAGGTCCATTTCCCCATCTCTATCATGAAAGTGTCTTCTCATGGGTTCTTGAGGGGAGAGCCAGGATAGGAGGAGAAAGCATATAGAAAAGTCACCAGTCTTGGAAAAGCGTTTAATAGCAATTGTTTTACTTCAGTCCTTGGCCTCAGCAGGTCCGTTCCCTACAGTGTATTATCTAGCGGCACTTTATCCGGTCCCATTTTAGGTAATGCATCGTCAC